AGTGGCAAAGCAGGTGTCTATCACAGGATGGGGTTTAAGTCCCATCCTTTGGTGACTTGAGTTTTTCTAAGACTGTTTTCCCATCTCTAAACTCACAGTGAAAATCAGTGACTAGACTAGAACCCCTCCTGTCACCTCAGATGTGGGTAGCTCTCTTTCTCCAGTGTCGGGTGGAGAGATGACTGGTAATCTTTGAACCGAGTATTTGGGATGTGCTTGTTCATTGTATCACTTATACATTCTTAACTTTTTTTGAAGTATAAAAACATACACAGAAAAATGAATTTGCATGTTTATACCTTGAAAAAGTTTAAGCCAAGCTTCCCTTACCCTCATATACATACATTACACACCCTGATGGGGTGTGGATAAAGCCAGTTATAGTAACTTTATAAAATATAGTGTCTCTGCATAAATAAGGCTAGATTCAGGCCCTGGAGGAAACCCAGAACAACCTGGTTTATTCTGCATGAGTCATCACATTCAGAAAATACTTTATTCTTTTACTTGCTTTTAATCACAGGACCAGGGAGTTATTCAGAAGGCTTCCATCTCTGACCACCAGTGTAGAGTAAAGCTCCCTGATGATAGCAGGCCGAATTTCCTGTCTGAAACACAAATTTAGTTATGTTCTTTCTCCCCAGTACCTCAATTCTGTGTTCTGAGTTACCAAGTCTATATTTAGCAAGACAATGTGGGAGAAAGAGGAAGGAAGGGGTGGGTGGAGAGGGCCTCAGAGGAGTTGACCCACTTCCTGCACTGGCTGCAGAGCCCTGCAGTCCTGGCCAGGAGCTTGTGGCCTTGTGCCCTTCAGAAGCCTCAGCAGGCGTGAAGGAGGTGCCTAACCAGCCACAGCTCTGTGGCAGCTGCAGGCCCCATCAAAGAGACACGTCATCAGTACTGTCCTTAAATCTTCCTCCGCTAGGCAGCCAGAGGAGAGGGGCCGGCCCAGGATTTCAGGTGGGGTCAGTGTGACTGCAGGGTCACCGCGACAGCCTTGGCTGTGGCATTGAGCATGGTGGCAGGAAGCCTAGCAGCAGGGAGCGCAGCAGGGATGTCTCTGGCAACTCTCTGCATGGGTGGGATGTTGGGGCCCTCCAGCGTGTCCAGGATCCCTGAAAGAAGAGGATGGCAGCCCAGTGAGAGCTAGCTGGGCCCTGTCCAGGGCAACTGTTCTCCCCCTCCCTGCGCCCAGGCCCACCTGTCACGTACCCTCCACCACCTTGTGGTAGGCAAAATGCAGATAGAGCAGGAAGAGCATGTGCAAGGCAGCCAGAGTTCCACAGAGGAGCAGCCGCTGGGTGGGGCCCACGGTGCGCGACACCAACACCGCCACCTAGGGCCATAAGGACAACTCAGAGGCCACTGACCATAGCAGAACCATCTCTGGGCTCTTCCCTTCCATTGAAAGTCTTTTGTGGGGTTCGGCCTGAGCTCTGGGCTGTTTTACCCAACTCTTTGGGAGGACAGCCCACCCCTGGAAACCTCTTGCCCAGCTTACCATGCGCAGGGTGGACAGCCCACCCACCAGCAGCCAGAAGAGGTAGAAGAGGGCATGGAGGTGGATATTATACGTGATGAACAGGACAATGCAGTGACCAAAGAGGCCATAGCCCTAGAAGGACGATGGTGGGGAGGAAAATCATTCAGGCTGAGCTGGCCTCTGGACTCTCATGGGACCCTGAGAAGTAGGTGGTCCACTGGCCAGCTCACCCCATCCCAGGTCTGTGGCCCCAGACAGATGCAGATCAAAGCCTGGCTACTCTTTCCAGATCATCCTTGCCTGCTACCACGTTGGACTCCTTACCAGTAGTGCCAGCATCTGCAGCATGGTGATCTGGGCATTGCACAGGTAGGCGAGGAAGTAAATGAAGGATGAAACGCCCAGCCAGTAGCCGAAGCAGGTGCCAATGGCTGTGCCCATCAGGGTACCTTCGCGCTGTGGGATGAAGACTCTATTTAGCCTGATGTGGCCTCTGGCCTCAGCCTCACCCAGGGACGTCCTTGGGGGCTGCTTCTACTTCAACACTGTCTCCTTAGGTGGCTTTCAAGTTAGTTCAGCACCCCCAAAGTCCTTTGTTCTGCTTACAATAATGGTGTCAGATGTCTTCATCCCATGGAGGAGGATGGCAACCAGTGTGAAGACCAGCATGAGAGGTCCGTAGAGTTCACCTGCGATTTTCTGTCAACACAGCAACCCATTCAGGGTCGGGGGGTACAATGGTCCTTCTGTTTCTGTCTTCCTAGGCTTTGCCTGGTGGCCCACCCTCTGCCCTAGTGTGTCCCCTGGCTCTTCCAGATATGCTACCCTCTATTCACCTGGGGGAAGTTGACCATCTTGATAGGGATCATGGACTCCAGGAGCCTGGGAGAGGAGAGGAGAGGAGAGATGAGTGCAGAGGCAGCACTAGGCTGTGAGGTTCTGGAGGGCCTGAATCTTACATCTAACTCCAGAGAGCATGCTGGATGGTGAAGGGAGAAGAGGGTAGCACAAACAGATAAGGAATGAGAAAATCACTTTCTTGCCCCCAAAAATGCTTCCAGGAAGGCCAATCGTGATGCTCTGCTGACAGATGCAGCAGCAATATGGAGAACCCAGCCCAGACTTGGGAGTCTTGGAAGAAGGCTTGCCGATTTACCATTTGATCTACTCCCGTTTAAAGGACAGGCAGACTTCAGCAGAGAATGGCCAGAACTCAGGGCTGTGATGGTGAAGCCCTGAGAAAGGTCTAGAAGGAAAAGTTTACTTGAGGGAAGCATGTGCCTCCTGCCTCTTCTTGCTTACTATTCCTCCAGGCACCAATGAGCATTTTCTTGAAAACTATACTTGAAGAGGCATGAAAATTCCAGGCAGAAGGAATAAAAGTACAAATCAGTTCTCTTTTCTCTTAAGTGGCCAGCTCCTAATAAGACCCTGAATTTTGGCTATATTTTACTTCCTCTAGGAAACCCGCCCCGCCCCACCCACCAGCCTGTCCTGGGCCAGGAGTCCTCACCGTGTGCTCCATCAGAGCAGATGAGTGCTGCACTGTAATTGCACTTGAGGCCAAGGCTCCCACCTCTCTTCACTAAACCAGACAAATACCAGGGTGCCCAACACCAAACAAAGCCTAGTAAGTACTTGCTGAGCATTACTGGGTACCCGAAAAACACTGGTTAAAGGATGAACAAAGAACCAACCCAAGATTAAATCCATGTCTTGAAAAGTCATTCAACAACTATACACTGATACACTGGTTCAGAGGCTGTTCTGGTGCTGCAAATAGTAAAACAGCCTGTTTTGAGAAGGTCTCTGGAAGACAGACCTCAAAATAAGAGAGTACTCCATCACTGAGTTATCTGTTAGAGGAAAGCACACAGTCCTACAGGATCACCAGGAGGACAAACGTGATGGGGCTGAGGAAAGGCCAACAAAGGAAGTGACATTTGAGCTAGGTTTTGAGGGAAGATGAGTAGTCTGTAGATGGAGAAGAGGAGGAGGGCAATAATCTGCTATCACCATGTCCTGTTCCATGACTGGTAGGAGGTATGGGGTGGCTGGGGTTCATGTACAATTATGAGGGACTGAGGAGGTGGGTCATGAAGAGGGGAGCCTAAGGACTAGTTTGGGTGAAGGACTAGGTGTCAGGAGGGCAGATTCTGTCAGGAGGATTCTCACCTGCTTCGCACCTGGGCAGGCTCCACATCAAAGTAGGGTCTCAGGATGTCGATGTTGGCGTATAAGCTGAAAGCCCTGGAGGCTTGTCTCTTCCCTGCCTGCCACATCTGAAGTAAGGAATACAGGGGGGTGGGGGGGTGGGGGGGTATTGTGAAACTCTAAGACCCGTCGCTTATTTTCTGTTGGATTTCCATATGGCTCTAACTGGATGTCTAGGAGGAACGTCACCAACTTAAGAACTAGGGCTCTGCCTAGATATACTTTTCCACCTGTCAGGGACCCAATCTTGCTCACCTGATCAGCCACCTGCCGGCTCAGCTGTCCCTTAAAGCCCTTCATGCCCAGGAACTCGCCATCCTCTTCTTCAGCAGCAGCTGCATCAGCATCTACTTCTTCCTCGCGAAGGCGCTGATGCAGCTCGCCCATATCCTCAAAGCTGGAGCCTGACGTATCATCCATGTTCTCCATGTCAATCACAGCTGAGCCCCCACCCTGTGAAGACAATGGCTTCTAGAGTGCAGGACCTTTCTGCTCCATCGGTTAAGTCCTCTGTTCATCCCAGTGTTTGGGGCATTGTTCTTGCACTGCTGGGATATGGATTGGAATCACCACAGATCACCCCACTCTCTTATTTGCTCTCAGAACCCTTGGTTGTTAGGCTCTTTCCTAGCCTGGGGAACCTGTCTTCCATGCATGCCTTTCCCCTACCTTCCCTATCAGAGCCTAAAAGGGCTGCAAAAGCGCCCATTTCCCTTATCTTTCCCAACCCCAAAACAAAGCTGTGCACACATTATAGTTTTAGCCAGTGCCAGTGAATCCCGCCCACTCTCCCGCCACGCCTGACCTCGACCGACCTCCTAACTTGTCTCGAAAGCAAGAGTGAACAGGCCCAGAGACCTGAGGCCCTCTAGCTGGAGTACCAGTTTGGACCTCCAGGTCAGCACTAGTCCCATTGCCTTTCGTGTGCACGAAGACCCAAAGAAGAGAGAGTGTTGTAAATGGAAGAGATTCCAGGCTCTGAGGGAGAGTCTCCAACACACTCAGGACGTTTGTCGGCCCCGGGGCCGCTGGCAGCCGGAGCCTTGAGGCCATTACCTGGATGTTTTCTTCGAACCCTCCCCATTCCGGGCCAGCCATATTTCGGGCGCCGCCGGCCGGCGCCGCCGTAGCTGCCATGTCTCTCGAGGGCTTCCGTCGCTGAAGACCGCGCTAGTCCCGAGCGCGGAGGAGTGGGAGAGACGTGGGCCAGAGGAAGGGAGAAGTCCAGGGAGAAGAGTTGGGATCAACCGGAACGCAAAAAAAGACCAACCCGGATGTTTGGCTCAAACCAACTTCCGGAAGCTGGGACGTGGACGGAGGCAGGGCAGAGGCTCGCGATATTTTAAGAGTCCCGGCAGTGATGCGTTGTCACGGAGACGGAGGAGTACAACTAGAACGCATGCCTCAATTTGATACCCTCGTCACGTGGAGGGGTGGAAGATGGCGACAGTTCAGGCCGTGGAGGAGATTCGGAACCGCGTGGTTCTAGGGGAGTTCGGGGTTCGCAATGTAAGCTTTTTGCTCTTGAGCTCAGGAGGAGAAATGAGGGCGGAACAGGGATGAGCTGGGATCGGAGGTGGGACGGGCTTGGCTTCGCTTCCCCTTCGCGGATAGGCTCGTTTCTCTTTGCTCTAGGTTCATACCACCGACTTCCCCGGTAACTATTCGGGCTATGACGATGCCTGGGACCAGGACCGCTTCGAGAAGGTGGGTGGGGCCGGATAGGGTATGAGGAACGGACCTTTTGATTTGTGTGGCCTGTGCCTCAGAAGCTGCCCTTGAGGTTCGCTCCGTTTGTAAAATGTTGAGCAGCGTTTTAAGTGCTCCGCTTTACACTGTTTCTGCGCTGTTCTGCGAACAAAATATATAATGTCTATAATGCTTTACTTAATATAATGTAAAATCCTAATTGATAGCAACAAGGACGACCAGGTGGGGGGGTATCTCGCAAAGGCACTTAATCTAGAATGGGAATTGGGGCGGACATGGAAGATTTACCTCCTGGAGATGACATCTGAATTGAGCCTTGAGCATAGACTCTGAGAACTTCGAAGGGTGAGGAGGGTCTAAAAACTGGAGATAAATTATGAAGGCTTATGCGAGCTGTGTTCCAGGAATATCCAAGCTTTCATTATTGCTAGAATGTGAAGTGGGCTGTCATGAGTGATAGGCAGGATTGGAGCTCGTCTTGGGCACTGCAGATGATAGGGAACTTTTGAAAAGCTCTTACGCAGACGTGATCAGATACAACCTTAATGGTTGGGAGGGAATTAATTTGAGGATTAACATATGCCAGAGGCAGACAAGTGACAGAAGGGGAGCTGAGGTTGAAGATAACTGAAATAGAGGAAAGGGAAGAGAAAAGATTTAAGTTTGGTGATTGCTTTGATGTGGACTGAATGGAGATTGTAAAAAGACCTTGCTTGGGGAATGCTTTGATGGATGATGGTATCATTTACTGATGAGAAATAGGTCTGGGGAAGGGAATGATGATGCATTAAGTTTCTTGCAGGCTAGTAGAATGTACGTTTGAAATGAGATGAGTGAGATGTAACTCGGAGTTTTCAGAGGATAGCAGCTAAAACCGTGTGTTTGAAGTCACCCTGGAGAGACAAAAACTTGGGAAATAGTAACATTACAGAGTAGGTGGAAGACAGTGGATTTGGGATTCATCAGAGAAGAGAACCAGAAGATTGGTACTCAGAAATCAAGGCAGTGGAGTTGAAAATAGAGGAATTTTTATCATCAATGCCAAATGCAACAGAGGAGCCTAGAAAGATAAAGACTGAATAGTGTAAACTAGACTGAGCAGTATGGAAGCCTGTTCTTTAGTAGGCTAGCATCTGTGGTCTGGCTGGAAGCCACACTGTAGTTTTAAATGAATAAAAATAGGGTGTTTCTCAAGAAACTACTAAGGATTGTAGAAGAAGAGAACATCCAATGAGGGGCATTAGGCAGAGGGAGGTTTTTGGATGAGAAAGTTAATACTTTGGGGGTGGGGTGGCGTCAGAGAGCAGGCTTCATTTAGTATATTTCCTGTCCTTTAAGAATTTTCGTGTGGATGTGGTACACATGGATGAGAGCTCACTGGAGTTTGACATGGTGGGAATCGACGCAGCCATTGCCAATGCTTTTCGGCGCATTCTATTAGCTGAGGTATTTGGTGGGTATGGCGGCAAGGGTGAAGTTGTGTGGGGAAACTGCCATTCTCTCACTTGTAGAATTGTCCCAAGCTGCCAGTCCCCTTTATTTTTCCTGCAGTTTTGGTGAGCATTTCTCCTGCTTACCTCATAAACTTGTTATCAAGCATGCTTCTAGGAAGAGCTCTCAATCTCCCTGTATCAGGAGGTGGTGAACAGACGGGGCCTGTAGATTCTTTGTACATGAGTGATTCTCTTTTCTTGGGCAGGTTCCAACCATGGCTGTGGAGAAGGTCCTGGTGTACAACAACACATCCATTGTCCAGGATGAGATTCTCGCTCATCGCTTGGGGCTCATTCCCATTCATGCTGATCCCCGTCTTTTTGAATATTGGAACCAAGGTGAGTGAGGAAATGAAATTTTGGGAAAATGGGAGCAACTCTCTTGTGAAGTGGATTCTGGAGTCAGAATACCTTTGTTCAAATCCTGGATTGATTATTGTGTGACCGTGGGTGAGTTATCTTTTGGTACATCAGTTTTTTTTATTTGTAAGAACACTTGACCTTGCTTTGCTAAATTTGTCATGAGGATTAAATAAGAAATATATGAGAATGTAAACATACTGTGATGCCTAGCACTCAAGTGTTCATTAGTTCTTTTAAGAGCCACCACCTCCTCCCTTTGTGCAGGAGATGAGGAAGGCACAGAGATAGATACTTTGCAGTTTCGGCTGCAAGTCAGGTGCACTCGGAACCCCCATGCTGCTAAAGATTCCTCTGACCCCAACGAACTCTATGTGAACCACAAAGGTGAGTGGTAGTTATGGTGAGAAATAAGGGCCGCCTGTTGGTTGGTGCGTTTTAGGGACTGAAGTCTTCTGATGTGCTGCTTTCTCCAGTGTACACCAGGCACATGACATGGGTGCCCCTGGGGAACCAGGCTGACCTCTTCCCAGAGGGCACTATCCGACCAGTGCATGATGACATCCTCATTGCTCAGCTGCGGCCTGGTCAGGAGATTGACCTACTCATGCACTGTGTTAAGGGCATTGGTGAGAAGCCCTGTGGGCTGCCCTGGGCAGGAGGGTAGTTGGATTACAGTGGCTTAGAGGACATTAAGAAGGGTTTTGCCACAGACTGATTTCCTGCTTCCTTCCAGGCAAAGATCATGCCAAGTTTTCACCTGTGGCAACAGCTAGTTATAGGCTGCTGCCAGACATCACCCTGCTTGAGCCTGTGGAAGGGGATGCAGCTGAGGAGTTGAGCCGGTGCTTCTCACCCGGTGTTATTGAGGTGCAGGAAGTCCAAGGTGTGGTATTTGGGGTTCCATTTAGGTCAGGATCTGAAGTATATTTTCTTTGAAGTTTAGCAGAGAGAAATAAAAAAAGCTCTAGGCTCACATATTTATAACATGGTTTGTTTTCATTAGGTAAAAAGGTGGCCAGAGTTGCCAATCCCCGGCTAGATACCTTCAGCAGGGAAGTCTTTCGGAATGAGAAGCTAAAGAAGGCTGTACGGCTTGCTCGGGTTCGGGACCATTACATCTGTGAGTATCACGTTGGAGGGAGGGCAGATCTTTGGTGCTGTAGCTTTCTTGCAGAGTCCAGATATGAAATCTAGCAGGAACATATATAGGACTTTTTTGCAAGCCCTGCCTGGGCTAAAGTGTCTCTTTGGTCCCCAGTCTCTGTTGAATCAACAGGGGTGTTGCCACCTGATGTGCTGGTGAGTGAGGCCATCAAGGTACTCATGGGGAAGTGTCGGCGATTCTTGGATGAACTAGATGCCATTCAGATGGACTGAAGTTTGCACCACATTTATTGGATGCTTCTGAGGCAAGCTGAAGATTGTGAATTCTGACCTGCCCCCACAGGACTGCTGTAGAGAACCCAGTATGACTAAGGGTCCCAGGTTTTTTGAGACAATCCCAGCCTCATTTTCAGTCAATACATGTGTTAAATGTGTCACAAAATGTGACTTCATGCCTTTGTAAGGCTTTACTATAAATAAATTCACATTGAAACAAAAATCCTTTGTCAGAGACCACTGCTTGAATTTTGGCCCAAAAATAGGGGCCTCACCTCAGAACAGGTAGGCATTTAGGAACACTGGTCTCAGATGTCACTGGTCAGGGCCAAGCCTCCCAAAAGCCTCAAGAGAAATGCCACTGAGGTGGTTTCTAGGGATACAGCCAGACCCTAAAAAAACGTGTGTATTACTTTACCTATCTCCTGGATTACCAGAGGAGGTTCCTAAGAAAAAGGGTAGTCCATAGTAGCCAAGTGACAGTAGCCAAGCTGTCAAGAGCCACACAAGGAAGACCAGTGGTCCCCTTTGGATAGTCCCCAGGGTCAGGCCCAACAGCCCCCAAGGATGCCACCATTCATGAGAGTGGTGTGGGCTGCCTGGTGTATGTGTGTCAGGAATAGAAATCTTGTCCAGACTGGCATACTATTTCAGAAAGCTTGACAGGCCCATCAGTCACAGTCCTTCCTGCCCAGTCCCCTGAGACTGGATGCTCAGAACAGTGACCTGGAGGATGTCACTGGTTTGAAAGAGGCAGACGGGGCCCTTGCTGTATGAAATGGAGCTGTTTACTGACATGCAGATGTGCTCTAGACTTCACGTTTCTACAAAAGGTTCTATGAACAATAGAAAACTTTGAGCACAAAGTCACAGGATATTAAAAATATTACAACACAATAAATACAACTGTGCCCTCCACAGCCCCAACCACAGAGAAAAGTAGCCAGTTGTCAAGCCTGGAGGGAAACTGGCTCTGAGATGCCTTTAGTTGACAGGAAGAAGCCCAAAGCACCACCCAGGAAGAGGGCACAGGGCAAGTCTGTGCTGCAGAAACAGCTATACAGGATTCCAAGTCCTGTTTTGCCAGCTTCACCTCTTCCCAGGCCTGCCCTGCCTGGCCGTCTACACCAGCTCACTGCTGCAGCTTCAGTCCAGGCTGCTCTGCTCAGTCGGCACTGAAACCCTCTCATCAGTGGGCTGGATCAATGACGGGCCTCTTTGTGGAGAACACGTGGACACGCACACTGTGTGCTTTGTGTGGACTGAGCCTGTCCATGACCTCCCACATCCATGTCCCCTCTGCTTACATGGCCATCCAGTGACCTCTAGAACGGACTGGCGACTCAATACAGGGTGTGATGGGATGGCATATATTCTTTTTTTTGGAAATGGCCCTTGAGATAAGTGACTCAGAGATCTGAAAGACCATGAGCTTTTTGAAGGCACCTGGACTCAGCTAGTCTAGGAGAGAATGTAGCCTTGTTGGTCTGCATTATCCTTAGATGCCAGTGGCATCATGTGACACTGGATAGGGTACTGTGGCTCTTGTGCCTGAGTGGACCCTGGGGCTGGGGAAACCACACTGAAGGGTCATTCATTGAAGATGTGTGAACTCTAAGGGGGATGTCAAGAGTACTACAGACCCCGGCATAGCTCTGGTCCCTGAAGATGATACACTTAATACTGAGTCCAGAGCTTAGCAGTAGCTGTACCATGGGTCCCTTCAGGTGACCAGATTTTTACTCAAAACAGAGAGGGAACTGGCCAAATTCAGTTCAGCACTCAGTGCCTGATCCAGACATGCCCCCAGGGGACGTAGTAGTTTCAGGCTGAGCCACTGCTGCAAGCCCGGCCAGTCGCAGTGTTGGGTATAGCACCCTGGTCACCTCTCTGCACAGTGTATGGCTGCACTGGGGCAGGAGGGCTTAGGGAGGAGGACTGCTCTGCTCTAGCTTTTCTCTGGAAAAGCCAAAACCTCCGAGCAGAATGGGAGACCTCTGGGAGATCTAGACAATGGTATAAGCCCTGACTCCCTTTCTTGATATTTCAGCATAATTACTTGTGGTCCTGCACGGGGTGCGCTCTCTACCGCTCTAGACCTGGATCTCTCTCCAGGCTGACAATGGTGGAAAGTGAGGTGGCAGTGGAGAGGGTCCTAGATATTAGCTACGAAGGGAAGAAGAGATGACAATAAAGGCTGACGAAGGATGCCCAAAAGTTTGATTCAGGGTTCAAAGATGGTGGCCAGTCCGCCCTCCTCGTTGTCCAGCACCTCCGTCTCCAGCATTGGCTTTGCTTTTTTGAAAAGAGAAGGAAGATTCTTAATGTGAACTTCTTGCTCTCCCAAGGGTTTCTATGGAAAACAAATGAGAAAGAACTAACGCTGGGCCCTGAGAAGGGGTTGTTTTAAAGACCATCTTACCAAACAGTCCGTGACTATAGCTGGTTTCTGGTTTGCCTGTGCACATGGTCTAAGAAGACTCCAGGCTTCTAAGCAGGCACTTCCAAGGGAGCACCAAGTAAGATGCATGACCTACCCCAATACAGCCAGCAATGAGGCGTTTGAATTGGTCCTTCCGACGCTTGTCAGCCACTTTCTGTAGAGAGGGGTTCAAAAGCTTGCAGTCAAACTGGTCAAGTGAGTCCTTCTGTATTTCAGGGATCTGCTCCATCACAGCTCTTATCTCCAGGTACCTGGGCCGCTGAGAAGTGGGGACAAACCCACTCAATGGTAGGTTAGGGATCTGCCACCTTCCCCATTCTCTGCCACACTCACCTCTCGGGGCAGCACTAGTAGCTTGGCAGCTGCCTACATGTAGGAAAAAGCCCAAGCAATGGGACAGTAGGCTCTGAGGGACGAAGCTGCAGCTATCCTGCCCTAAAGCCTTTCCCACTCACCAGTGCTTCGTATATCTGGAAGGCCAGGTGGACCAGGGAAGCCATGCAGCCGTCGTGCTGCCCGTGCGTCTGCAAGCCCTTCAGCACGCTAGTGAAAAGCCATGTGACCGCATCTGCCAGCAGCGTTCCTGACAGCACCTGGGGAGACAGCTGTGCTCAGGGCCAGAGAGGGTCATGGGATGCCCCAGCACCCCAGTTCTTCCAGCTGATTCAGCCAAACCTCATGACCCAAGGCATGAGGGGAAGGGATGGATAACCGTACTTGTTTGAGGAGAGGCCAGCAGAGCTGTGTGGTCGTCCTCTGGCAGGACAGGGTATCCTTCCAGGCCAGGGAATTGAAGGCTGTAATTAACAGCGCCGTACAAACATCCTAACGGAAAAGGATGAAGGATCATCATGGGAAAGAATGCACAATTTTCTCTAAGTGTTCTAGAGGAGTGTTCAGAAGCTGGAGTTCTAATAGGTAAGCAGGAAACTGATAAAAGTAGTTACTGAAGAGAAGTGAGTTCATATGCTATGTGTTATCAGGCAGTCAAAAAGAAAAAAAAAAACTAATATAGAAGACAAAACTGAAGTACAGGAAGGAGACAGCTTAGGCCTGAGGGAGGCTGGACACCAGGAAATGGCATCACTGTGCCCGTGTGTTTTTCTAAGAGCCTTTGCCCATGTCAGCATGGGAAACACTATGGAGGTTTACCCACTGTTTTCTGGGGGCTTGAGGAATCAAGAATTTAACTCATATAAAGGAGTACTACCCCACAATTTTTCTAATCGAATTATTCAGTAAGAAAGTGGAAGCTGGCTCCACAGCCAGCAAATGTAGAAAACACCACCTGCCCACTCCACCCACCTCATGCTTCATTAGACATTTGCCCAGGTCTGTAAGCTCCGCCATGGCTGAGGGGGTCACCTCTGTGGCCATCATTTCTTCATCTGTAAGCAGAGAGAGAGACAAGGTTAGCTCCATTCTTTCAGAAAAGAGGAGGATATCCTGTTCTAACAGAAGGGAAGTATCCTGTGCTGTCCGGTGGCTGAGCAGGGCTGGGAGGACAGCCACCCTCACAAACGGTATAGAAGCCCTGTGCATGGCAGATCAGGAATGCAACTTGCTGGATGCTGGGGAGACAGTGGGAAACAAGGGACTTTCTAGACAGTTAAAAAGCTGAAAATGCTGAGGATCTTTTGTCAGAGGACCACTGCAGCAGGCACTGATCTAGTTACTGGATATAAAAGAATAGGACAACATCCATTCATGATAAAAATTCAACAAAATGGGTATAGAGGGCAAGTACCTCAACATAATAAAGGCCATATATGATAAACCCACAGCCAACATCATACTGAACAGCGAGAAGCTAAAAGCTTTTCTTCTAAGATTGGGAACAAGACAGGGATGCCCACTCTCCCCACTGTTATTCAACATAGTACTGGAGGTCCTCGCCACGGCATTAGACAAAACAAAGAAATACAAGGAATCCAGATTGGTAAAGAAGAACTCAAACTGTCACTATTTGCAGATGACATGATATTGTACATAAAAAAACCCTAAAGACTCCACTCCAAAACTACTAGAACTAATATCTGAATTCAGCAAAGTTGCAAGATACAAAATTAACACACAGAAATCCTATACACTAACAATGAACCAATAGAAACAGAAATCAGGAAAACAGCTTCATTCACAATAGCATCAAAAAGAATAAAATACCTAGGAATAAACCTAACCAAAGAAGTGAAAGACCTATACTCTGAAAACTACAAG